ATTGGGTGGGAAGGAAGGAAGGAAGGAAGGAAGGAAGGAAGGAAGGAAGGAAGGAAGGAAGGAAGGAAGGAAGGAAGGAAGGAAGGAAGGAAGGAAGGAAGGAAGGAAGGAAGGTGGGAGAAACTGCATTCTGCATTTCCTTCACTAATCCATTGTGAAGCATTTAATGATCTTGTTGTAAGGATATTGTAAAACGAAAGTCGTCCATTTCATTATAATTTGCATATCACCACATTCAGCAAGCCCTGACTAGGCCAAGTACAGAGTAAATGTAGGCTATAATTATAAAGCAATAAATAGAGAAAACCTTAATAAACAGATTTTGTTCTAATACAGAAGGATTAAGAAACAATCAAAACTGACATACATAAAACATTACCTATCATATTTGAAACTGTTCACAATGGAATATATTTGAAACAATGCTTAATTATAACTGCAAATATTTTCTACTGCTGTCTACAGCTTACATTGATCTAAATCATAAACATCTATTTTCTTCTACAAATCTTAAAAAGCCATAGGCATTCTAATAACATGTGCATTTTCTTAAATTCCCAAATGCATGTGCACTTTATTCATAAAGTAATGTAAAACAAAACAATGTCCCGAACTAAATTTACAACTATCGTATAGTCTGAATATTAATGCTCATAAAAATGATACCTAAGTAAGATACATATGCTGAAGCACAGTGTAAACACAGCAAGGTTATCAATGTTGTGTAAATAACAAAATATCTGCACTTAATTCTATCATTACAAGACATTAGGTTTTGCCACAGTCTCAAACAAACACAAAGGAATAATGAAGCTATGTTGACCTATATTATAACTTACACAAAGCACCACTATCTAGCACATATTTCACTGCTAAGTTGAGATTTAAAAGAATTTTCTGGTCATGTGTAAACAATATTAAAAGGTTCATCTGAACTCCTGTTATTCTTCATATCTAAAAGTAAAAATAAAATATGGATAGAACAGTCTTCAGGTGAATCTCATCCAATAATCATTGTGACCATGACGACTCGCCGTAAGCAATGAATATTACGGTTTGCTGATAATGAATGATAATCGTTTATGTTATCAATTAAAATGTTAGGCAACAATTGGTTAGCTGTCTGTGTCCACCATATTACAAGGAATAACTTAGAATAAAAGAATCAAAGAATGAAGATTTTAAAATTAATGTATACATCCAAGAGAAAACGTATCCATCATTATCATCTACAGGACACATTGTATTTTCAGTGATGTTAAAGTTAAGTAATTCTAAAATCAAAATTCTCCATTATTTGTACTCCTTATATCAGTCTATATTTTTTTTCTTTTCTTTTTATTGTACTAAAATTAACTTAATATCTAAATCCTAGAAAAATATTTTTGGCCTTGATATGTATTCAACTCAAACAATAAAACTACACAAGAAAAATAAAATTCAATTGCACACACAGCAGAAATGAATGTGAATCAATCATCAAATGTTTAAGAGGGTGATACATGCTCTTCTACAGAGAAAAGAAGAAGAAAAGTAAAATTATAGTTTTGTGTTGCCAATATACAATGGTCAATAAATATAAAATGCACAAAAGAAACTCGACTCAATGGTCGTCTTCTCTTAATTCATTTAACTACAAGCATATTTACAATTGAAAAATGAGACTTATTGATGTGTTGGGAACTCCTGCAGCCACTGGCCACTTTGAAGTTACTTGCTGTTGGCGAATGACAATGTCAGCAAGCAATAGTTTGAGGAAAACACTAACAACAAAAAACTCAAGCACTCACGCTTACTTTTTCTAGCAAATCACGATGGCCTTTGACGAACAAGCATTGTCACTTGTTCTTTTCTTCTCTTTATATTTGATGTTGCCTAAGGATTTGCTCTTCAATAAAGACCAATATATCCATCCTTCTATATAAAAATAAAGTCTACTACTCAAAATGTGAATATAATGGAGTTTCTCATACAAATACTGTAAAAACTACTTTCTACTACCACATCCTTTGATAATAACTTTTTCCTGGTATCTTTTCAAAATAGAGCATACAATACACACATAATACTTATGTCACAAGCAAACTTCTATGTACTGTTCACAACTTTTTGAG